CCTGTGCATGAATTCGTGCATGGGTGGGATCCAGCCAGCCTGATCAGGGAGAAGGGACATGGGTGGTTGCCAGCCTGCCTGATGGTCAAACTCCTGGTCAAGGGGACAATTTGCATATTAGCCTTTTATTATATAGGATATACACTGAGTGGCCAGATTATTATGTGTTCATAGATCATAATAATCTGGCCACTCAGTGTATACATGCAGGTCATTCCGGACAGAGGTGAGAAGGGCTGTCAAAGAGAACAAAATTGCTTTGAGGGAACAGAGAGGGAGTAAGCCCTCGCTGTCTGGGTTATGTAAGAGAACAGCTTTGTAACATTGTGCAAGGAGGCTTACAAAGCTGGGTCCAGAGGCTGAGGAAAGGCATCCGCACAGCAGGGAAGGCATGAACGATGGCAGGCAGGCAGCATCTGCTGCGGAACAAATGAAGGGGGGGAAATAGGTAGAAGGGGCTGACTTACCTAAAACATGCAGGAACGGTTTTTCCAGACTCTGGTTTCTAGGTGTGTGGGTCACCCCTGTTCCCTTCTAGCATAATCTTTTCTAAACCCTACTGTTGGGCACTTGTTTCTTTCCTGATTCTTCCCAATAACAAAGCACAGAGGGATATTTCTGTGAGCATTTGAACATAGCCACACTCTTCCTTAAAATATATTCCTAGGAGAGCTGTAGGCTACGGCTCGTCCTGCTGCTGTGGCTAACCAGGGAGCACTCCATAGGTAGAAGGAGTAGACTTGCTCCTCCTATATCCCCAACACTTGGCAGTACTTTAAAATCTATCAATGTGATGGGCCAAAAAGAGTTGTTGGATGGCGGTTCTAATTTTCATTTCTTTGATTATTAATGAGGCGAAGCATTTTTGTCAAATATTAATGGCCATATAGACAACGCAAAAAATCCTTTAAATTGGATTTTATTAGTAAGACGTGAACTAAGAAGAAGGCATCTGACTCATTTTCATTTTGCTTCCTGGAATGAGATTGCTAAACTATTGATCTTGAAGCTACATCGTCAGGAAAATAAGGCAGGATGGCCTAATTTTCCTATTGATTGCATCTACCCTCATCTTCACTCTTTGTGTGACTGGGAACAGCTGGCCTTTGAAAATTGGCCCTGCACTAATACGCTGCACCAGAACCCCACTTCCAAGCCTTGTCTGAGGCCCTTTGAACTTTGACCTTTTCTCCCAGCTCTTTGAAACCTCATTAAAATGTATTCTTCTCTAAAGGCATGTCTTGCTTCAAATCTGTACTTATGTTTTCCTTCAATTAGGTTATAAGTTTTCTTGAGTGCAAGTTATTTTGTCATATTCACGTTATTCCCCACAATGCCACCTTCAGTGTTTTCAAATGGAAATAAATGTAACAGTTTAAAAAGTATTTATTTCCTTTTCTTGAAAACAATTCTCTTCTGTTGTCATGGGCAGATTTCTTAGTCTTGGAAAAACTTCACCACACAAAAACAAAATTTTGAAAAAAAAGATATAACCAAATTAAATAGCACAATGAATTAAATAATGCCTTCATATACTAGTAACACCCAAAAAGTATATTTTTCTCCTTTCTTTTTTTAAATTTATCTTTATTGTTGGAAGTATTACCGATGTCCTCCCTCTCTTCCCCCATTGACCCCCTCCACCTCACACCTGCACCCCACCCCCAGGTATTTTTCTCCTTTTTAGAAACTTTCCCCTTTGAGGGGAAACTATCTTTGAATCATTAAATTATTTTGTATTCTACTAGAAACAAATAAATACATATTTTAAGTTATTTATCTTTTAATTCACAAATGAACTCAAATGTTTCTATATATAAGGAACATTGATTTAAAAGTCCAGATTGAAGTGGTTTCTACACATAATCCATGTTTTATTTCTTCACTGAAAAGACACCCACCAGGGTTTCTGAAACCAAGCTTTAATAGCATACTTAGAAGGGAATAGTTGCCAGCTGACTAGATATTGATTTAATGTTCCATCATCTCCATGGTTCAATCACGCCTACCATGGTGAATCAGTTGGAGCATCCTCAATGAACCAATAAATGAGCAATTTCCCCACCAAAGGGAGATGTTTCCTGTGTGGCAAAGGCATACATAGCTTATCACAAACACGTGAGGCTTCAGTGCAGCCCTGAAGTACCTGGAATCATCTAGCCTTCTGTTTTCAGTAATGGTTTGTCCTTCCAATCAGCACTTGCCACACACCAGCTGTGTGTGTGTGTGTGTGTGTGTGTGTGTGTGTGTGTGCGTGTGTGCACGCGCGCACGCGCAAACATATATGCTGTATCTCTGCCTGGGGTCAGAGACCATTTTTCAGACAGTTTATCATTTTCTAAGGCATATACTAGGTGGTCAATAAGTATTTGTCAAATGAGAATCATATGCTAACAGAGCTCAGGGCCAGAGTTTCCTGTGTGCCTGTGGTTGTCAGCCCTGGATTCCCTTTGGAATCACATGGGGATCTTTTTCAAAATTACCCAGGTCTCATCCCAGAGCTGTGATTTATTTTGGGCTAAGCATGCTACCCAGACCCTGTGTTTTAAAGACTTTGCAGGTAATTCTAATGAAGAGCTAGTGGTGAGAATCACTGCTCTAGCCATTGTGATAGAGAAGACAGGCAGACAGATCAGCAATTGGTTGGGAAAAGTATTATACTATCATTTTGTTTTCTCTTAGGGCAGCCGTTCTCAAAGCGTGGTCTCCGCATCAGCAGAGACCGGCAAAAAGCCCTCAGGTGACTCAGATGCCTGCTGTAGTTTGGGAACCACCACAGTAGAGAAATAGGTTGAATTAAAATGTCTTAAAGAAATTGATTTCAAGTACACTCAACTCAAAACATACGTCAGATTATGCTTCGTAAAACAACTCTTCTGGCCCATAAAATATTTTTTATTTTATTGATTTCAGAGAGAGATGGGAAGAGAGAGAGAAGGATAGAGAAATAGAAACATCAATCAGCTGCCTCTTGCACGCCCCCTACTGGGGATCAAGCTCGAAACCTCCAGCATGTGTCCTGACCAGGAACTGAACCAGTCACCTTTGGTGCATGGATCAAAGCTCAACCACTGAGCCATTCCAGCCAGGCTGGCCCAAAATTTTTCTAAGTACTATCCTTTTGCCACCTAAAAGAAAGTGAATGTCAGCATGCACAGTATAAAATTTTTCTGTTAAGACCGTACAGCGGTGTTAACTAGCATATCCTACACAGAAAGAAGCACTTGGCCGGGCAGGGGGCAGCAACCACATTTTATCCACTCCTTCCCATTGCCCTGTGCTCTGTGGTGGCCCTGAATGCTTAGGCAAGAGACCTGTTACTCAACTTTGGTTTCCACTCGTTGTAAAATAAAAGGTGGCAGGAACTTCAAGCCACTTCCTAAACAGGTCTTCGGCGCTTCCGAAGATTCCAGGTCCAGAAGCCGTTGTTCCCAGACATGGGATCCTGAAGTCAGAATGAGGATACCCTCTGCCTGGCTTCCAAAATGTGCTTCCTCAGTGGATCTGACTCCGCCTTGGAGGGTCAGAGGCAAGAAGTATAGTGACAGTTGGTGGTGGCAAGAGGGAAGTGACAAAGGAAAACTCAGGGTTGGTAGCAACAGCAGAAGTGGTAACGGGCAGCACATGCTATGGTGAGGGGTGATGCCACGACTGTCACACCCAGCATGACAGGCGCCTGGGTGCCACACCTTGATCTGGATCCATGGAAGGGACAGGCAAGAGTCGTATTGCTGGTTTAAAAGTGATGAAGGCCTGGCTGGTAATGTGGGCCTCTCAGCACATTTCTCCAAGTGCAACCCTGTGTTGCCTGCATCCACATCACCAGGGGGCACTTGCTAACGCTGCAGCATTCCAGACCCCACGCCAAACCTACTGAAGCCAGATTTCTGAGGGTGGGAAGTCCAGGAACCAGCACAGGAGTCAAGTCCCTGTGCGACTGTTCGGGCATCCCGTGATGATCTGACTTTCACAAAGCTGCCTGGACTTAATCTTGTAGATTTGAAATTTGAAGCAATTTAACGTTCAATGTGGACTCTATGCAAAGAACTGCAGGAGATAACAAAATCAATCTTAAGCTATAGCCCCTTCCAAAGAGTAATTCACCTTAGGAGGACTGGTAGCAGTAGCAGTGGCAATAGCACTGACAGCCAAAACCGGTTTGGCTCAGTGGATAAAGAGTCGGCCTGCGAACTGAAAGGTCCCGGATTTGATTCCCGTCAAGGGCATGTACCTTGGTTGCGGGCACATCCCCAGTAGGGGGTGTGCAAGAGGCAGCTAATCGATGATTCTCTCTCATCGATGTTTCTAACTCTCTATCCCTCTCTCTTCCTCTCTGTAAAAAATCAATAAAATATATATTTTTAAATAGCACTGACAGATAAACAAACACACTCAACTGTGTTAAGGTAGGATGAGGTAGGAAAAGTGGATTTCAGATGAGAAAGATGAAACTCAGGGTTTCTGAAAGGCATTGGGAAGGAGATGGCATTTCAGAATTTTATTTTTTTAATTCCTCACCTGAGGATACTTTTTCCAATGATTTTTAGAAAGAGAGAGAGAGAGAGAGAGAGAGAGAGAGAGAGAGAGAGAGAGAGAGATAAGAAGAAGGAGGAGGAGGAGGAGGAGGAGGAGGAGGAGGAGGAGGAGGAGGAGGAAAAGGAGAAGGAGGAGAAAGAGGAGGAGGAGAAGAAAAAGGAGGAGAAGGAGGAAGAGAAGGAGGAAAAGGAGGAGGAGGAGGAGGAGGAGGAGGAGGAGGAGGAGGAGGAGGAGGAGGAGGAGAATTGATGTGAGGGAGATACATCCGGGGCCAGGATTGAACCTGCGACTGAGGTACATGCCCTTTGACCTGGAATCAAACCCACCATCCTTCAATCCAGGTCTGGGCTCCAACCATTGAGCCAGGGCTCAGCTTTTTTTAACAACTTTTTTTCCTAAAACAGGAATGAATATATAACAGTAGTCTGTGTTACTTGCAGACATCCGAGGTCATTTTTAGAGGAATGGGGAAGATTTCAACAGGAACTGGAAAGAGCAGGTTCCAGTGCAGGAAACAACAAAAGCAGTGCCCTGTATTGACTGGTATTTCTGCCTTCTCTGGAATTTCTTAGTGAGAATCCTCAAGGACCTTCGACTTAGAAAGCAGGTTCCCTTTCAGCTAGCTGGTACTAATTTACATTTATTGCATCCAGTGATTTTTTTTTTTTATAACTTTCTTCTGGTTCCAGAGGGTGTATAAAATTGGGGTATCAAATAATACAGACAAATAATGATAAGACATAATGTTGCTTTAAGGAAAAGAGTAAAGATTTCTGCAGTTCAGTTTGAAATGTGTTAAAAAAAAAATAAGGTAGAATGAATAGATACATAATAAACAAGCTTTATAAAAAGGTAATTGCAGAATCTAGGTAATGGGTATACAGGTGTTCCCTGTAAAAATCTTTCAATGTTGCTGTGTTTCTGAAATTTTTAAAAATATATTTTTATTGATCTCAGAAAGGAAGGGAGAGGAACAGTTAGACACGTCAATGATAAGAATCATTGAGGGTTCCGCCCCCCCGCCCCCCCCCCCCCGGGGCAGGCAAGGGCCGCAGCCGCTGGAGGGGGCGCCGGCGGAAGACCACCAGCGGGACCCATGCCATTCCAGGGCCTTGGTACCCGCGCCCTGGGCCTCCTGGTCCTGCTCCTGCTGCCGCAGCCCCGGCTCCCCTATGCCCAGGCGGGCTGGGAGGGCCGCTGGGGAGGCGCGGCGCTGCGGGCACCCTCATCCCGCCCCGCGGGGGGCGGCCGCCGGGACCCTGCGGCGAGCCCGCAGGCGTTAGCCCACCCAGCGGCGATGGCCCTCCAGATCCCGTCCGCTCCAACCACAGGGCCCGCAGCGCCCACACCGCCCGCTCCAACCGCAGGGCCCGCAGCGCCCACACCGCCCGCTCCAACCGCACGGCCCGCAGCGCCCACATTGCCCGCTCCAACCACAGGGTCTGCAGCGCCCACACCGCCCGCTCCAACCGCAGGGCCCGCAGCACCCACACCGCCCGCTCCAACCGCAGGGTCCGCAGCGCCCACACCGCCCGCTCCAACCGCAGGGCCCGCAGCGCCCACACCGCCCGCTCCAACCGCAGGGCCCGCAGCGCCCACACCGCCCGCTCCAACAGCAGGGCCCGCAGCGCCCACACCGCCCGCTCCGCCTGCTCCGACGCAGCACCTGCCTTCAAGCTGCGGCCGCCAGACCACGAGGGTCGTGGGCGGCCAGCCGGCCGCGGAGGGGCGGTGGCCCTGGCAGGTGAGCCTGCGGGTCCTTGACCAGCACATGTGCGGGGGCTCCCTCATCGCCAACCGCTGGGTCATGACCGCCGCCCACTGCATCTACGGCTACATGGATTACATCCTGAAGGTGGGGGGCATACACGTGAACCCGTCCTCCAAGAACTCCATCAAAGTCCCGGTTCTTGACATTGTCATCCACCAAGATTTCAAGCTGCTCAACGCCCTCGAGAACGACATCGCCCTGATTTTGCTCCAGTTCCCCGTGAATTACTCCGACTATATCCAGCCCGTGTGCTTCCCCGAAAAGAGGTTCATGGTGCCAACGGACACGGACTGCTGGGTGACAGGATGGGGCAAACTGAAGGAAAAAGATCCAAGGGAGGCAGCCCCCAAGTTGCTCCAAGAGGCTGACCTAAAGATCATCCGCCGCGAGAAGTGTAACGAGATCTTCAAGAAGCAAATGGACATCCGGTTTGACATGGTCAGGAAAGGGTGTGTCTGTGCTTACAGCGAACTGGGGAAGGACTCCTGCCCGGGAGATTCTGGGGGCCCCCTGGTCTGTGAGTTTAATAACACCTGGGTCCAGGTGGGGATTGTGAGCTGGGGCATCGGCTGCGGTCGCAAAGGTTACCCTGGGGTTTACACCGAAGTCAGTGTCTACAGGGACTGGGTCATTGACCAGATGAACCTGGCTTCCTCGCACAACTCAGCAGGCCTGTCCGCCCTGCCCCTGTGCCTGGTGCTGCCCCTGGGCGTCCTGGTGACCTTGTGACCACACGCTGCTCCCTCCTGTCTCTGAGTCTCCCTCCAGGCCTCTCCTCAGACCTCCCTCTCCTCAGTGTCCTCCCCTCACATTCCCGTTGGGACCCCCCACCCCTCGTCCTGTGGAGCCACACAGCAGAGAGCAGAAGTGAGACTGGAGTTCCCGAAAGTGTCCCCTCCGTGCTCCGGTCCCTGGTCCCGGCCCGCCTACACCTGCTGAGAGGGAGGCTGAGACCACCCAGCTCGGGGCCAGCTGGCCTGCCCAGGAGAGAAGTGCCGCACGGACGTCTCAGAGGTTCACCGAGGAAGAGACGCCATCAGCGCTGGACACCATCAGACCCAGTGGTTTCAGGCCTTGCCTGACACTGTCACACCCTCGGCGTGGTGATTGTCCAGAGAGTGAGCGAGGTGCCACCTGTCCCTGCTGTGCTGTGATTTCCACAGGACTCAGTGGTGGGGTGGGGAGAAGGTCCCTGCACCCCATGTGGATCCACCGTGAGTGGCCAGCCTCTGGCACGTAAGCCTCCTGGGTCAATCTGGTCTTGGAACCCCCTCCCTCAGTGCCCCGGTGGCCACATCAAGGCTCACCCCACGTTGTGCTGAGACAGGAAGGAGTGCCGAGATTCTGATGTCAGTGGAATAAATGTTTGGAGAATGTCTTGTGTGTTCTGAAGTCCCTGGACTCTGTGGATTAATGTAGATGTAGATGTACATGCTTTACAAATTGATGATGAGTATAAATGATGAGATTAAAAAAAAAAAAAAAAAAAGAATCATTGATTGGCTCCTTCCTGCATGCCTCCTACTGGGCGTGCATGTGCCCTGACCAGGAATCAAACCGTGACCTCCTGGTTCATAGATCAACCCTTAACCATCAACCACACCAGTATGGCATGAAATGTTTCATAATAAAACGTAGGAGAGAGGTAATGTTTTGCTTGCATGGTCCACGTGACTTTGAACAACTTTCCACTTGTCTGGATTCACTTTGCTCTGCTATCAAGGCAGTTAAATTAGCTCAGCTCCAGGTTCCCTTCTGATTCACAAAGATTCTCATTCCTTCTTCCCTCTTGGCCAGGAACACAAGGGTTACTCCCTGGGAGAGGCAGTCATCTAGCCTGCCAGGACTTAGCTAGAGATAGTTAATCCTCCTCAGAGCACAGCAGGGATGACCTAACGCTGGCCCAGCCACCGCCACCCTGCCGTCTGTGGTTCTAGAGCAGGTGCTGTGCGAGTCAGACCTTGAAATTTGTTTTGCAACCTACCACCTGTTGCTGTGATTGTGTGGCTGTTTTCCTGGCTTATGGGATTTTACTTCAGCTGTTGTTCTCAGGCGAGAGTTTATTTCCTCTAGGAATCTACACAGTTCACTTGCCCTAAACTTAGCATTTGTATGTGTGGATCTTCCGGTGACTGATTCAACTATGCAACGCTCAATCGTCTGCCAAGAGTCCTCAAGTCACCCACAGACTCCAACAACAGATTTTTAAGGGGCCAAAGTAAGAATCCTCTTTCAAGTCTTTTGTTGCAGATAATGATCTCTTTGAATTTTGCTTTGGGAAGAAGTAGCACAGCGTCAGATTTATAGTTGCCCCTGACTCTTTTTTTTTTTTTTTTTTTTTTTCCTGCTCACTGAAGGCATTGTGCTGAGTCAGCACTTCCCTGGCATTCATTGCTTTGCTGAAAATGCTTGTGCCTGTAAAATTTTACTGCAGGCTAACATTTGCAGACAAGACTCCATTTTTCCCGGGTAGTTTGAAGGTAATTCTACGAGTTTGGAACTAAAATGGACTTTGTGATTAACTAGTCCAACCCTTCAGTGACATGGTTATAAAGAGCCTTGCTCAAGATCATAAATTTATTAAGGATGGGAGCTAGAAATCTACCTATATTGCAGAGCGCACTTGAATGAAGGGAAAATAACAAAAAGAAGCTTAAGACCTTTGCTTATAAACATTGGGCTATTTTCTTTTAAAAAAAATAAATCCTAGTGCTCTAGCTTCCGATTGCTGCCTAACAACCCACCACAGAACTAAGTGGCTTGAGAGCAGTTTCTTATCTGTCATGTGTCTCTGAGAGAGAATACTACTTGGCTCGTCTGAATAGTTCTCACTTGGGGTGTTTCATGCAGTTGGAATAGAGGGTCTCTGGGGCAGGACACCTAAGAAGACTTCTTTGCTCACAAGCCTGGCACATGAGCTGTGAGGGCTGGAAAGCTAGGTCAGACATCTCTCTCCACGTGGATAGGTTGGACTTCTCATACATGGTGGTTCCAGGCAACATGGCAGCTGGCTTCCCTCAGAGCAACTGTTTGAGTAGGACATTGTGAGGCAACTTCTGCTTGACTTTATTGGCTACACAGGACCAGCCTAGATACCTGGGAAGGGACTATGAAAGGGCATGAATTCTAGGAGACAGGGCTCACTGAGAACCACCTTTGAAGACTACCAATGACACATAATATCACCACTACTCTTTAGAAATAACATGTTTTACTATTTTAATAAACAAAGTGAGAAGTAAGTAGTCCTAAAACCTATAACTTATGCTAGGGTGACACTAGGGGCCACTTGGGATGGATGGAAAAACAGAGTTTGTAGTTAGAAAAGCCTGAATTCAATTCCAAGCACTATAATTTACTAACTGTGAGACCCGAAGCAGATGATATAATTACGCTGAGTCTGAGTTTCAATATGTTCATAATTAGAATGACATTTAGGTCAAAGTATTATTTTTAAAAATTAAAAAAAAAAATGAGTTTTAACCTCTTCACACATAATAGTTGCTCAGTACGTTTTAGTTCTTCTTACCCTCAGCCATCTCTGGAATCCAGAAATCTCGATAGGTATTCATTGAACACATGCATGTTTGAGTGTCTGGTGGCAAAGGTTTTGTGCCAGCAAATGGTGATCCAAAGGTTCACAAGACATGTTCCTTTCCTCCCTGGGAGGAAGCAAAAAGGGTGGAGAAGGGTGAGGGAAGAAAGTATAAACACGCATCGAGTGAGGTACTACAATGAAGGCAGACTACATGCTAGTGTGGGAACTCAGAGAAGGGAACAGTCCACTTTAGAGAGGAGGCCTCAGGGAAGGCTTCATAGAGAAGAGAATACTGAGCAGTAGCATGAAAACAGGAGCTTACCACACGCAGGAGGTGGGGAAGGGAAAACCAGAAGAGCAGAAGTAGCATATGCAAAGACACAGAAGCACAAAATACCACCAAGAAGTAAAAGCAGTTTGGTGACGCTGAAGCAAGAACAGTGGGAAATGAAGTCAGGTAGAAGCATAGATATGGGGGCTACTTTGGAAGTCATCATGGTAGCCCAGGCAAGAGATGATAAAGGCCTGAAGCAGAGCTGGAGTGGAGATGAAGAGGAGATGAATGAGAGGGAGATCTAAGGAGTAAAATGAAAGAACTGCCTGGCTATCCAGAAGGAGGAAAGAAGGAATCCAGAGGCAATGCCTAGAGATCTCTGGTTAGGAGGATGCAGTGGATGGTTCAGTCATTAGCTTATAGCTTGTATCCAGGAGGAAGAATGGATAGGTGGTAATGAATTTGGTTTTGAACACACCAAGCTTGAGATGTCTGCATTCAAAGAGAATTAATTGTTCCACATGCAGTTGAATTTATGAGTCTGGAGTTTGTGGGAGTTGGTTGGGCAGGAGAGAGAGATTTGGGAGTTGCTTGACAATTTGAAGAAGTCTTTTCAGAAGTTAATCTTTTCCAGTCTAGCCAGTAAATAAATGATGTCTGAGTTGTAATAATTGTTTAAACAGCCATCGCTTTTGGCTTGTCTTTTTCTTTTTTTTAATTGCCTTAAAAAAAAAAAAAAAAAAAATATATATATATATATATATATATATATATATATATATATATATATATAATTGATTTAGAGAGGTAAGGAGAGGGAGAGATAAAAAAACATCAATGATGAGAGAGAAGCATTGATTGGCTGCTTCCTGCATACACACCCCACCCCCACTGGGGATCTAGGCTGCAACCCCAGGCATGTGCCCTGACTTCCTGGTCCATGTCCATGCTCAACCACTGAGCCTCACTGGCCAGGCTAAAATTTCCTTCTTAATTAAAAGATGTAAACAAAGGAAAGTTTGTAAAGGATTGCAGGAGTATAACACATAGATCAAACATCTATATACTAATATATAAAAGCCTAAACGACCAGCCAACTGGCTGACTGGCTAGTAGCTATGATGTGCACTGACCACCAGGGGGCAGATGCTCAACACACGAGCTGCCAAGCTGCAGTGATTTGGAAGCTTCAAATCTCAGGTGATGCACCCAGAACCAGAAAGGAGGGAGCCTGATTCTGGGGTGCATCACCCAAGAACCACCCTCTTGCAATCTGGGACCCCTCAGGAGATGTCAGAGAGCCGGTTTCATCTTGGTCCCCACAGGCCAGGCTGAAAGATCCCACCAGTGCAGGAATTCATGCACCAGGCCTCTAGTTTGACAATAATTTCCACAGCAGAAAAAAAAACTTTTTCAATTCCTGTATCACAAACTAGCAATATCTACCATACCTTAACTGATGGTCTATTAGTTAATTCCATAATAATCACAACTACATCATATACAGACATACTTTAAAGATATTGTGGGTTCAGTTCCAGAGCACCACAAGAAAGAGTGTCATAATCTTTTTGCTGATGGAGGGCCTTTTCTTCCATTTATAAAAATCACAGTGTGAACCACATTAAAACGGATATGACTTTGCCCCAAACAAATGGAATAGACTTTGATTCTTCCTAGCTTACAAGGGTAGCATATAGAGTTAGGGGCTCATAAAAGTGACAGACTTATTGAAACTTTCACCAAAGATCAGGCCGAGACCGATCCAAGATGGCTGCGCCCAGGTGAAAACCTAACTGCAGCCTCACACAACAATTTCAATAAAATACAACTAAAAATATAAAACGGACATTACCCAGAACTACAGGAAAGTTGACTGACTGGAAATTCTACAACGAGAAGCAAGGAGAAAACCAG